GCTCGCAGCACAGGCTTTGCATCTCGTGCCTCCTGAGCGTGTTTGTCCGAGTTGTCAGACGCCTTACCAGCTACGCTTCAAGAGCTCACGATATCGTTGGATTGGAGCTCGGTACGAAACCCAAGGCTGTCTAGAGTGTCTAGACCAGCAGCCTGAGGCGATTCCTTTCGAACGTGAAGCAACACATGTGGATGCCTAAGTTGGAAGCTTTCGTGATGCGGATGTATGAATTTCCTCGACAACAAATTCTTCGCGAGTTGCGTCCCACTGACCACAAGCGAATTGATGCTTGGACCCAATCCTTCCAGCAGACATTGAGTGCATGGTACCAACCACAACTCAACCAGGGGTTCGACGGTCCACTTTTCCAGCGTCTTCGTACTGCATAGCGGTCTAGCCGCGCAGTTACGAAGAAACCTGCTTCAAAGGCCTACAAACGACCATCAACATCTTCGAGCAAGACTACATTGAAGCGACCTTCGGCATCTTCAGCTACTCCGTTGGACGGCAAACCCCGTGGCCACAAGGAGATGCTTAAAAACATCCAGACATTGGGATTGAGGGGAGGAGATATCTTTGTCTCCGACAAGTGGAAGGCCACGGTCTCGGCAACGCCAGGAGCTCGTCGTTCCACCTGGCAAGGGGCCGAAGCAGGTTTCAAGCAGAAAACATCCCAATCCTACACAACCTGCTCGAAACCCTGTACTCAACCACCGCTGGGAGGAAGTAAGAGAGGACACGGGAACCCTGTGCATGGGCTGGAATATCGCTAAGAAGTAGGATCAGACCCTATTCCAAGATTTATGCATTTTAAAGGCTTAGGGTTTAAGATTTATATAGGATTTTAACGCAAGCCACCAATTCAACCGAAACATTGGAACCTCAAACCCTATAGTGTTTAAGGTTTGAACCGGGTTAAGGTTTAAAGGTTCAATCAAGGTTCCATCGTTTTAACCTTATAGGCGCTGAAGGCATACATGCCCAGGCCTTAGGTTTAAACGCATCAGGTTTAGGAACTTACGCTGCAGGTTTAGGCATATAAGCCTTTAACCCTCAGGGCTTTAGAGATAAACCCTGAAAAGCCCTAAGCCTTTAGAACTTATAGGGCTTAAAGGTTAAAACAAGCGGTTCCAGGGGTGAACCCGGCCCCTGCGTTTTAGTATTTTACGTAAATGCACGAAACGAAACCACTCATTTGGATGTGTTCATAGCTGCGGACAGAGACAAGCGTATGCAGGTTTACGTACAGTGCATATCCAATTTGATGGCCAAAGATGGCAGCTGCAAAGCATTTCTTTTGAGCAGCTAAAGCGTAAGATGGTGTTCGACGAAGCAAGCGATGCTGTCAGGAAACTTGGAAAAGACGTACGACATCGCGCACGCGCGCTGTGATGAGGTTACCGTGATCAAAAGAGTGTTGGCCGTTCGCTGTGAGCGAGCTGCGGGCTTGGTACTCATCTATGAGCAGACGCCATTTTTGGCGATCTGAATGAGCTGGTAAGATCCCGGACATTCTCCGACGGATCCAACGTTTAATTAAGGACCACTTGCACTCGATGGCGTTTGTAGAGTTGGAATTGGTAATCTCTCCCTGACTGTGGTTGACTATCTCATGGCGAACATCCGCTTCGGAGAAGTTTTTCATTTTATTGTAAGAGTTGAACGGGTATTCGCGGTTTTAGGGGGTTTGTTGTAAGGTCCTAGTAGTCCATAAGTGTTTAACAGGGGCCATTGCCTAGGGCCATTGCCTGGCCCTGTTAAAAAGAGGGGCTGGGCTGTACTTGTGTGCCAAGCTATGCACAGGTGTTTAGGTTTAGGGTTTAGGGCCGACTGCCCCTCATCAAACCCTATATCATATCAACCCTAAGCTGGCCATCTACGCTATAAGAGCAGGAAGGGGTCTAAACCCTGAAAGAAGAAGCTAAAGCCCAAAAACACCTAGACCCTAAGCCTGAAAGCCTAAGAGCCTTTCCCCACAAGCTTCTCCGAGGTGGTTGGCTGCCTAGCCTGGCCGTGGCTCCCGCCGCAAGGCCAGATGCAGACTAGTAGTCCCTTTAGGACTAGTTTCGGTTCCCGAACCCTCATTTAAGACCCTGAGAAGCTTTGATTAAACCCCAGCGTGGATTTAAGCTGATCCTGGTGTCAACGGAACCCAAGCCCTTACGGCAGTCGGATAAACTGTCGACCTCCCTTACCCTTAGAACAACGCCCAGATGTGGTTCCGCGTTGTGCATTCTGCGCCCCTCCATAAACCCTAAACCCTATGCGGGGAACAACCAAGGGGGACATGGCACCAACTATCCCACCTTAAGGTTGTCCAAATTTTTCCGGGGTTCTCACACCGCCCTTTACTCCCTGAACGGGCACCGACCCAGGCTAGGGGGGTCCAACTGAGGGTTACCGGGCTTACTTCACTTGTGCACAATGCAATTGCATCTCCGCACCCTAAACCCTAAACCCAAAACCTATAGGGCGGGGCGGGGGGGGGGGGGGGGGGGCCGCCGGGGCTGAACCATATATAAGTCAGGGGGGTTTGGGGTTCTTGGTTTTGAGAAGGGCCGCGAAACCCTAAAACCCTACAACCTACAACACTAAACTGTAAACCCTCAACCCTAAACCCGGCACCTCACGCGCAACAGGCTTTGGTTTCGGGAGCTGGGCTCCCTCCCCGTGCAACGCCAATTAACGACACGCCAGGCAATGGCACCAAATGATGTACCGAATCCCCCATGGTGTGGGTCAACACCTGTTGGTTTCCCCCCATCCGGATGGCTCACACTGCTCTATGCCTCCAAATGCCTGACGTACGATGCAAGCCCCCTTGCACGGCTGCTTTGTGCACCCTGTGCTGATGCTAACCTCTTCCTGCCGCCTCTTCCTGGCCTTTGTCCGGCAAAGGCTCCTAACAGACCGAAGAGTGAAAGAGGAGAGCACCGAAACATCCCAAGTATGGGCAATGTTTTGGCTGTTCGAGCAGGCCCCCAAGCAAAAACTGCCAGGCTTGCCCCCAAACCGGCGTTAGAGTTCACCCACGACCATGTGCGGGAAGTTGGGGCTGCCATCTTCGACTGAACTTTGGACTTCTGTGCACTTTCTTCGTTGGGCGCAGCTTCTTTTTCGCATGTGAAACACACGACTCCTTGAAGGACCCCAGCTGGTAGGATCCACTTCCCCAGCTTCACCGGTTCAGTGGTCCTAACAAGCCCTTAGAGTCTCCCCGGAGCTGTTTCCACGCGAAGTCTCCAGGAGGGGCAGCAGCAGCATCGGTCACTGGGGCCCTTGGTCATGGCCGGGATGGGGATTTAGGCTTCAGGGGCTGTTGGGGGGAATGTGTTTCGGGGTGTTCTCCGCGGGTGTTCGGGGGGCCCATGATGCCGCTTTTGTCACCGTTTGAGGCTGGGAGCTTTGAGTTCGCAATTTGGGCTTCCCAAGTGTTCCGCGAGCCTTGGCGAGGGGTTGAGGAGGAACGTGTCTCAGCTGTATGCGCTTCAGACTTGCCATTTGAAACGTAATCATCTAGTGCTCAAGCTCGCGGCTTCCATGCGCGCATGAGGGTGGGGCAACTGTGTCGTGGTGAATGCTTGGACTTCCCCAAAGCCCATGAATCCTGAGCATCTGAGCCCAACGTGCATGCAGGTACGGGAGTTCGGACACGGCAACCTGGGTTTCATCCCACCCTAAACCCTAAACCCTAAACCCTAAACCCTAAACCCTAAACCCTAAACCCTAAACCCCCTTGAACAACTTCATGTTGGTTCCACCCGGGACGCATTGGGTCTGACATCCTCGGCTTCTCTGCGTGAAGGGCAACCCTGCAAGATCTCTCTACACTGAGCCTTAACCCGCCCCCCCCCACTCCCTGGGAGCGTGTCGAACAGGGTTTAGGGTTTAGGGTTTAGGGTTTGGGGTTTAGGGTTTAGGGTTTAGGGCACCCACCCCTCACTTTGCGACTGGCAGGTTTGTTTGTTGGTTCGGGTTCTCTTCTTCTTGACTTTTCTAACTCATGTCTTGCTTTCTGCTGTTGCACCATTCCTTCCCGTGTGTCTGGTTCCTTCGCATTGTGAATATTTGATCTCTCTTCTCGCTCAGTTGAGTTTCTCTCTCTCCTAGCCTCTGACTCTCATCTTGCCTCCTTAATGGTTCGAGGCTCTTTGTGTCGAAGGTTTGCACCGTACCGATGCACGATTGGCTCAAGTTTGAGCTCTAAAGCTGGCCTCCTGCTCCGTCTGACATCATGTGGGCCACGGCCCCTTGGAGGGATTTGGGTTTAGGGTTTAGGGTTAGGGTTTCGGGTTTGGGGTTTAGGGTTTCGGGTTTAGGGTTTAGGGTCCAGGGTGTAGGGTTCAGGGTTTAGGGGCTCAAGGTGTTTCAACTTCGGGGTGGTTTCTAGGTCCTGGGGGGCTGGGGGGTTTAAGTTTGTTTTTCTTGGGCTTTTTTTGGGTGGTTCTACATGTTTTTTGGGGGCTTGGGGGCTTCGCCTGCCATGTGAACCCTAAACCCTAAGCCCGAAACCTGAAGTTAGAGGGTCCTTCAGGGAGGGGGTAGGTACCGGGGGAACCTTTGGGAAGCTTCGGAAGCCTTAGGGAGTAGTGTGGAGTATTCGGGAGCCTTGGGTTACATACCCCCTTGAACCCCCCCCCCCCCCCCCCCTTAAGAACACTATAATAAGGTTTAGGGTTTTGTCTTCAAGGTTGTTGCTGGGCCTAGGCCAAAACCATCCAAACCGAAAAAACCCCAAACCCTATAAACCCTCTAAACCCTCCCTAGAAACCCTGTACAGTAAACCCTGTCAACCCTACAAACCCTTTAAATCCTAGAAACCCTAGAAACCCTACAAGCCCCTATATATCCTATAAACCTTCCTTCCTTCCGAGGCATCAGGGTCCGGTGAGCAGGTACCCGCGCTGGCCAAAAACGACATCGCTATGACGTCGCAGCCCGAATACTAAGAAACAGAACCTACGAAAACGCAACAAGCACAAAGTCGAGAGCTCGCTCCCTCAGGGAGACGGCAGCGACTGGTGCAAGGCGGCCATCTGTACAGTTTTGGCATGGGAAGCCAAAAGGCCACGTCTCAGCTCGGAATGGAAGGCAGCCACGGCGTCAAGCCTCAGAGAGGCCAGAACAAAGCTGCGACCTTCCCAGCGGACGTCGTGCAGCACCACTCGCTTGTCGACTGCGGCAAAGACAGTGCGTATCGCCTGAGAGAGATGTCCACACCACCACAAGGCTCCAGTGTCGCGCAAGGAGGCAACCAAAAGGAAAATAGTGTTGGTAGCCCTCAGCAGACGCTGCCGGAACTCCGTACAGGAATCCCGTGAGGCACCTTGACGGATGTGCCCTTCAGAAGAAGTAGGCGGCGTCCCCTGGGCCTCCATACGTAGTGTGCGGGCGGCTTCCACGAACGGCCTTGACCACCACTCCATGTGGGCACACATGGCCCAGAGGGGCAGGAAGGAGGCCAGCGAAAAGGACAGCCTCCAGAGTCGATGTCCCTGCAACCCGGACCACAAGGGTGACGGAGCCGCCATATCATCCGTAATTGAGCGCCATTCCTTCCAGCCAGCAGCAGTAGCCTCTACTGGGGCCCGGGCCACTGCAGGACACGGGGCTGATTGGGAGAAATGTTCGGCCACCGCGGGCGCAGGAACCTGAGGTACAGTGTCTCCGGCAGCAGCCTCAAGCTCAACCCAGCGCTGTAACTCGGCCTGGAGTTCAGCCTCCGTGGCATAGCGGTCTTCATCAGCCGCCTGACGATGAAGGGGGGTCGGCAGAAGAGGACCCACAGTCTGTAGTGGTGGGACTCTGAGGTGGCCCGCCGCCCCCACTCGCTTCGTGGCTGTGCCCGCCACATAGATTGGCCCGACCACGTGACGAAGCCCACATCTGCACCGTGGGGTGTGTTCGATGTGGTACCTCAGACGTGCAGTGGAGTGACAGTCGCGCAAGCACCAGCGGCAGACGGTGTCGACGATGAAGGACATGCTCTCCGACACCACTCCATGCGTGCGGTGCAAATGCACAGACAAGGCATGCTTCGTGGGCCGAGTTTCCGGACAAACATGGCATTTCCACGCCGGAGGCGGTCGTGCCCGGGCCTCCACCAGCGGTTGCGAGTGAGCAAGGCTCTCCTTGTTCGTGGCCCAGTGTGCCTTTAGGGCACGCAGTAGGGTGCCATGCTGACTGACCCGTTTGCAGGCCTTGAGAAGAGCGCGAGAATGTGTGCGAACTGCTTGGCGGAAGCCGCCCGTGATGAGCTCACCAGGGATGTATGTGCTGCGCCAGACCTGCCTGGTCGCGTACAGCAGGTCGCGCGCCCAGGGCACATCCCGCATCAGGGCGGCCTCGAACATGTCCCACACTCGTTCAGGAGCAGACACACATAGCTGCACGACCAGTCTGCATCTCGCCACAAGAAGGGCCTCTGTTGGCGAAGTCACAGGCACAAGCACCTCCAGGGCTTTCTGGCATGCGTGGTGCCCCTCCTGCCAGGTTTGCCACACTTTCCTCCTAATACGATGGAGGAAACTTTCCATCGGTTTGAGGCTGTTGCGACCTGGCGCAAGGGAAGTGGCCAGGCAAGCGTAAGTGGCCGGTAGGATTCGGCCTGCAATCCATCCTTCCCTGATTCTCCATGGAAGGCGCGACCTGGTGAGCAACGGCCCAGCAGCGACTTCAGCTCCCCTGCCACGGCCAATGGCTTGCTCAATATCTCGCCTGCCATTGTCTCGGGGCAACTGCGGTACACCAAGATATTTGTATTCGGGAGCAATCCTTATGGCTTTAGCATCCAATTGGACGATGGCATCCCCTTGCAGCAGCTCTCCTCGCACGGCCGTGGCGCCAGCGCCACGAGGATCTATGAGGAACTCCGTCTTCCCAGCCGACACATTGACCCGGAGTCGGAACTGTTGAAAGACCTCAAGCGTAATGCTGCCCATGCATCGCAAGGTCGAGGGCAGGAGCCCCGCCTCTGGCACATCAGCGAGCAAGACGAGGTCATCTGCCCATGCAATGGGGCATGGCTCCTCTACCTCATCAGCACAGGCAACCGCGAGGTTGTGGTGAGCAACGCCATGTTTCCCCAACTCATTGCTGAGACAGGCAATGATGCAGGTCATGATCGCTCCGAAGAGGACGTCAGCCAATCCATCGCCCGGACGGCTGCCCCGTGAGGCCAAGACCGGCAATCTATCTCCACGCAGCAGCCAACTGGAGCCGCTGACACAGTCTTGCAGCAGCGCCCGGTCAGCGGCATCCAACCCCAACTGCCCAAGGGCGCCACCGTCCAAGAGATGTTGGGCCCAGGGAAGGATTTGGTCAACACGCGGCTGCAGTTGTCGCGAATCCCCGAAAAGGAGCTCCCGGTCAACCTCATAGAAAGCGGCCTGCACGTCCACGAAAAGAGCAATCAAGGAGTGCTGGGCTGCCAGGGTAAGGCCTGCTGCAGCTCGGTAGGCAGTGAGAGCATATCCCACATGCATGCCAGGGCGTCCTCCGAGCTGGAGCGGCTGATAGGCGTTGACCACCTTCCGGCCTATTGTGTTGCGGATGTGGCCATGCCAAATTTTCGCCACGCCGTTAAGGAGAACAATGGAGCGATAATTGCTGGGGATCGCTGCCGGCCCTTTCTTGTAAAGGGCGCACGCAAGAGCGTGCTTGAAGCCAGATGGCTCCTTCCCTCGCAAAGTAATCTTCGCGTGCAGTTGCCAAAGCCAGCGGCTGGCAAGGGCGGGTTGGTGAGACCATACCCCGTTTCTAATGCCATCCGGCCCTGGAGCTTTAGTAGGGCGCTGTCGTCGGCAGAGATGCTCCACTTCCAGTAGCGACGGCAAAGCCTCAGGGCAGGGGCATCCTGGCTTTTTCCTGCCACGCCAAGTGGAAGTCATCAAGCTGCTGAGGGGTCACCACTCGTCCCTGCTCCTGCTCCCTGAACTGTTCGCGTAACTCGGCTTGGATGTTGTAGCCACCAGCGGAGTGCACCTTCCTGCGTTCCGCTGCACGCCTGGAAGCCCATTTGAGATGCATCAGGGCATGATCCACCCGGCCATGGACGTGCCATGCCGAAATAGCGCCAGACAAGAGGGAGTGCAAGTGAACTGTTTTATCGCGTTGCCCCAGACGGTGCAGGCGCCGGCACATGCCCGCCTCGCGTCTCGAGAGGAGCGCCACTTGACGCCATGTTTCGAGGCGTCGAAGCTGTCGGCGTCTACCCTTCCACGCCTGCCAACATTGTCTCAGCCATGCTAGCCGAGCTCGGGCCTTGGCCTGGGCCTTGTCCTGTCTCAGCTGCTTGAGGGAGCACAGGAGTCGCCAAGCCTCCTCACTGAGATAGGGTTGCTTGGGATGCGCTCGGGGTCTGCGAGGCAATTGTCGGCAGAGAGCCTGATATCTCGCAACAAATGTCTCGACTTGAACTTGAGGGGGCAGGGATAGTGTCTCCGTCCATGATCCAACCGAGCCCCACAGGGCTGGAGCCATTCGAGCGCATTCTGTGGGTGTGCACAGCCGAGGCGCCCGCTCGACTGTAGGCGCCGCGAGGGTCAAGGTCCCCTCCGCCATAAGTGGCATGTGGTCACGTGGGCCTAGGAGCACATCGAAGTCCGGAAACGGTCGCGTCATGGAGATGTTCCAAGCTTCTTCGGAAATCAGGATGTGATCCAGGCGTTTGCGCAGCCCGCTGGAGTGCTGCCACGTCCAGGTGTGCCCTTGATGTATATGTGAGAAGGTAGACACTGCGACCAGGCACGCTTCTCGACAAATGTGAGCAAGTTTGTCATCCCCAACTCTAGGCTCATGAACGGAAACCAAGGTGCCAATGTTGTGGCCATTCGTATCAGCAACTGCAAAGTCCGCATTTGCATCAAGACCCAGCCAAATGGCTGCCGTAGGGGGCAATCTAGCCAAGCGTGTCCGCAAGTCACCCCAGAAGGCCACAATTTCGGAACGGGGGCGATCTGCATGTGGCGCATGTGCCGACAGAATGCAGATAGGCACAGGTAACCGCATTGATTGGATGGGAAGTTGCCGGACATCCACCTCCCTGCACGAGAGCGGCATTCTTGGAGAGTGGCGACGTCGACCTTCAGATGGTCTAACTGCTTGACCAAGTAGGCCCGTCGTTGTCCTGTGCCGGCTTTATTGAAGAAATGCGGGACGACATCCTTCAAGGTTTGGACATTCGCCTGAATGACGCGGGAGAAGATTGTAACCGGCGAGGGGGACCCCGTCTCACTTACATCCGGCTCGCCTGGTGTGTCTGGGATGCCCGAGTTGGGCGGCGGGTCAGGCGCAACCACGACACGAAGAACGAGGCAAGTGTTGGTAAGTAGTGTCCCATATGGCACAAGCCACAGGTGCTGGGCGTGTTTCACCCAGTGATCCGAAAACTGGGGGGGCTCTCTGCCCCTATCCGGTCCACTAGGTCCACCAGCCGCGGCTAGGCCAGCCAAGCTATCAGCCAGCTCATTGACGATATACCCCGCGTGACCTGGCACATGTACGAGGTCGGTGCTAACCCGTGATTGAAGGGCCTGCCAGGCCACTCTGGCATCTTTTGCCCATACGGAGGAGGCAGTTGCATGGCCTGCAGCCACCATGAGGGCGGCCTGGTTGTCGACTGCAGCCACAACCCGCGAGGGCACACCTCCCCAAGCAGCCCGGTTGGCATCCACCCATCAACTTGCCATGTTCCCAGCCGACTCTGAACCAGGAACCACGGAAAGCGGCCCACGCGGTGAAAGCCCAGGCCCCAGAACCGGCCCCCGACCCATCCGTGGCCAGAAGGAGCTGATCCGGGACACCATGGGTCCATTTCGGGTATGCATCCCACGCAGCCCGCAGGTGAGGGCGGACCGCACTAGGGAGGTCCAGTGGCAGGTCCTCAGCCATCCAGTATTCATAAAGGAACTCCTGTAGTTGCCCGACGGGTGTAAGGTCCGCCTCCCAGATCCGATCTTCGCTCTGGCGCCAAACCAGTTCCGGTGCTCCGCGAGGGCAGAGGTAACAGCTCCAGCATTGCGTGAAAATCGGCCTGGCATCCCAATAGGCGTATGGGGTGGAACTTTGGCATCGGCTTAGCGGTCCTACAAGGCCCGCAGCCGAGAGGTTAGCCCTGTAGCCTTGCCCTCTCCACTGTGCTTCGGAAGGGACAGTGATCTGAAGCTTGCCATGGGGCACATCCCCAGCTTGGCATTGCGTGAGGACGTAGAGGACAGCAGCAATGCCGATCCACCCGGAAGGCGCACCAGTAGCACGGCATAAAACCCACCTACCAAGAAGCAGAGTCAGCCAGAAAGGTCGGGCTTGCAACTCCGTAGTCGACTGCCCCGCGTACGGAACGGAGGGCTCGATGATATCGCCATCCCGGAGTGAGATTTCAGACGGAGCCAACCCTGCGACCCCGCGCGCCAGATGGGAGTTGTCGAGGGTGTCCATGGCCCGGACTGAAACCCTCTGGCAGATTGGGCTAGCACCCCAGAAGATAACATGAGCATAGAGATGGCTCGGGCTACGCAAAACACAGATGAAGCCCAGGTGCGGGGATCCATGGCACAGGTGCCCATTGCTCCCCTTGTCCTACCCAGTCGCCCGCGAAGCAACAGGCAGCAGGCTTCCACGTGAACCCAACAGGTGTGTCCACGGTGCGCGCCGGTGCTCCTGGGCGCCACATGGTGACTCGCCCAGTTTGCGAAATGACAAATGGGAGCTGCCAGAGAGCGTGGTGGCGGGCCTGGGATGGCGTTAGATGTATGGGCATGGCTGGAGGGACCCGATAGTTAGCCATTGGCCTCGCACAAATGAGGTCTCCATGTCGGAGACGGGTGTTGGAAGAAGAAAGAAAGGAAGGCGCGGCTGTGAGGGGCCCCGCATAGTCCGTACCGATCCCGAGGGCGTCAGGAACTAGTCGGCATGGCATATCCCGCAACAGTAATCGCGCTTGCACCTCTCCGCCTTTGACGACCGCAACGCACAGAAGGGGGGGCGGGGGGCAGGGTACGAGATGTAGAGCTCCCATGCTCAGTGCTGGCCAGACAGGGACAAGAGGTTCCGGCCAGTCCTGCATGGTGGCTCGCACCAGTTGGTAGATGTCCTGCTGTGGCATATGCGGATGTGGCCGCAAAGGAGCCGCCGCCCCCATAACGGGGCACAGTGTTTGGATCCATGGAAAGCCGCCCAAGTTGACCGTGTGTTCGGCAGGACGCCATCTAGGCGAGGTTGGGTGATGGACCAAGCCGACCTCAACGACCCGTGGCTTCAGTGTTTTGTAGGCACCGCTCCTGGAGGGCGACCTTGACCGCCTGGCGGGAGGCTGTCCTGACTCACTGGAGCTAGAGCTACATTCAAGTTCCATGGCTGGGGAAACCCATAGAAGGGGCAAGAGAAGCACTATTTCCTGGCCCTGCCCAACTGGCCGATGTCCCCACCCTCCTGAGATTAGAAGGTACAGCCCTATGCTTAGGGTTAGGCTGCGACGTCCACTGGAGCGGGCCGAGGGCAGTGCCCTTACGGCACAACCCTCTCGCAGGACATCTCCATCCCTAAGATGAACCGGGTCAGTAAGTTGTGTTGCGGGGTGGGGGGAGCTGCCAGCGACGGTCCAAGCGCCACGGCCTCCCGCCCCAGTGAAGATGTGTTGTACGTACGCACGATCCGCACAGGTGGGGGTCCGGACGCACAGATTGTTGCTAGCGCAGTGTATCAGTATGTGTGCATGGAAGGCGTCACGGCAGCGCAGGCACAGATGTATGCCTTGACCCCATGCCCAAGGAGCGATGACCCATTGGCCTCTAGCCCCCAACTCCGGGAAGCTGTCGAAGGTCTGGGAGTGCGGCAACCATCTCGACCCAGCTGGGACCTCGATGACACTCGGACTGTTTCCGGGCTGCCATATGGTGCATTCAAAGGTGAAGGGTATGACTAAGAACCGTTGCCAAAGAGTGTCATGTCTGAGGGAGGCGAGGGATTCCACCGTGACCTCCCCCCCTCTTCGGGCGGAGCCTGCTTGTCCCAGGAGAGAGGCGTAGAAAACGTCACCGCTACGCATGTGGAGTGTAGCCTGCACCTCGCTCTCTAGTTCAGAGGATGGCATTGGCTCAAGCAGCGCCTCGAGAGGCGGGGGTGGAAAGAGCTGCCCAAAGGCCTGCGGTGCTCGGTGACTTATAGCTTCCTGCACCCACTCCAGCCGAGCAACTTGCGGGATGCACAGGCTCAGCCTCCATGTTGACGCCACCACAACCACACAAACCAAGGAGTTGTCCGGTGGAACCGGGACGAGGGTCAAGGTGTTGGCGACAGTGTTGGGCCAAACTGGCACTAGTTGGTGCCCCCATCTAGGTTCCTCAGCATATAAGAGGCGCACTAGCCATGACCAGTCGCAGCTTCGGCTAATTTCGTGCGTGTCCCCCATGCCCCGAAAGGGGCTGAGCAGGTGCACCAGGATGGGCCCCGTCTCAGAGAGACTGCTAACCGTCCGCGCAGGGATGGCCACATGCCACGGAAATGCCCCTACCCGAACAGGTTCCGCGGCCTGGCGAAGCGTCATGGGCCTGACTAGTGTAGGGGTTAAGTGCATGACGATCACACTTGAAAGGAGGGAGACCCTCCAACCCGATGAGACCCCCAAGGCAATGCTGAACAGCCACCGGCTCAAGTGCCGTGAAGGTGAGGCATCAGTTTCTGGGACTAATTTCCAATGGACAGCTTCAATGTCAGGTGGCGCCCCATCCAACACAACAGAGCTATGGCAAGAAGAAGGCAGCCCGGCCAGAAGGGCCATCTCCGCCACAGCAGGCGGGGTGCATGAACACATGCGTAGGCACATGGCCAGGCTGTTGCGTCGCCATACCAGATGTGTGGCAGCGCTTGGCGCCTGCGTCCTTAAAATTTCCATGGAGAGTGCTCTGTGATTCGGAAAGCCCCCGCGGGCTTTATCCAGGTCCCTGGTATTGCCGTGTCGCCAACAAGACATGTGGGGGACGTGTTCTGGAGCTAGGTTTTGACTGGTCATCATCGCCCCGGCAGGGCCAGGTAGCCCCACCGCAAGAATGAACAAGGCACAAAGGTAGCCTCGTGGGCAAGCTAGAAGTAGCTGGAGAACCCAAGAAAGCCTTAGGCTCCGGGGACAGCCAGCTAGGGAGATCTCAATGTCTTCAAGCTGAGCCTGTGGACAGACCCAAAAGGGGACGCAGTCTCCGTCTCTGAAAGGCACAGTGGGTTGAGCCTGAACGCCCACAGGGGGCGGGATGAGGCCCACCGTACCAAGGATGCAGTAGTTGCGTAGCCATTCAGCGGGGCATTGTCTGGGGAGCTTCCTTGGCCACAACATCCCATCCCACCATAGCACAACAGACGCTCGGTCGGACTCCGGCTCACAGGTAGTCAGGTGGATGGCGCTTCGGGTGGGCTGTGGTGACAGCGGTATGACAGCATCGACCTGGGCTTGTCTTCTCCAAATTTCGGAGATGTCATATAGCTCATTGAGACAATCTTCGGTGAGCAGAAACCGACCTGTTAGCGGCTGCCTTGGCACAGCCGGGGAGTGAATGAGGAACTTCCCTGCAGTCCTCGGCCAGGAGGGTGATTCCTCGACGCGTCTGCCTCCAGCTCGAGCCTGCCACACAGTACTGAGCTGAGCCTGCAGGGCTCCGTGCTGCTCTGGGGAGGCATCCCTCACGGACCATGACAGGGTATTGCCGTTCAGCGGTAGCGTGACATTGCAATGGGCGTGTTCGGTATGCCCCCCCCCTGGAATCGATGCTCCTGTAGCACTAACGAGAGCCTGTTCTACTCCGACAGGTGCCGGCGGCGCTTCTACCCCACAGATCAGGAGGTTACCGAGAAGAAGCATCACCCAAAGGCCACGCCGGTGCACCAATGAGAAGTAGCGGGGTACGATCCCCTGCAGAGGCCTGAGGTTCCGACCGAGCGCTGCTTCCATGTTCAGCCCCGTCTGGCAGGGTGACCGGGCCTTGTGGAGAGATGCCCAGGGTTGTCGTGCTGACAGGCACTCCGCTCTCTGCGCTACATTGAGGGTGGAATGCGTAGCCCTGGGTCCGCTGTCGCAGCAGTCGTAGAACTTCCCCAAGCTGGTGGGTAGCCGCCTCCCAAGCGAGAAGAGAGGTGTTATTAGGGGGCAGCGAGAGGGGAGTTTGACAAGAGCTGTGTGCGACTGCCGGGGATGTAGCCTCACTTCGTCCCGCCGTGGCCGTCAGGAAAGCCGGTCCTTCCGGGCGCAGAGAAATCTGGCCACCGGGCCCAGTGAGGAGAGTGTCTCCCCAGTCACTGCGGACAATCTCAGGCAGTTCTTCTTCTTCACCCCAGGGATTGAGGTAGCGCATCGGGCTGCGCGATGGTGTATGCTCCCCAATTGCCAGAAGCTGTCCGTGTCGGAGACCACTCACGATGGTGCCGAAACGAAAAATCTGTCTGTCGAGGACCAGGACAAACTTTTGTGCAAGCGGCTGTTCTAGGGTGAAGACAGATGTGGCCCACTGGAACAGGGCATCCCAGTCCAATGGGTTAGACCGACTCTCGAAGACTGCCGCCTGCCTATGCCACTGCATGAGCAAGTAGGTGTATGTCCCCACTCTTGTCCTAGGCACATATAGCCAGTGCTGAACCCCTTGTATCAGGGGGGGGGAGACTTCCAGAAGCTTCCCATCATTATCAAGCTGCCTAGGGAGATGGGCCCGAACAAGAACTAGACGAGCATCTGTGACCGTCCGTGCTGTCGTCGGAAGGTCCACAGGCTCAGGCAGTCCGAAGGTCCAGACTCTGCGGGGATGACTGGCTGGAATAGTCTGCCCGCCCACAGGCTGCACGACTATGATAGTGGCCAGCATGACCGGCGCCAAGCGCCAGCAAGCAGACGTCGAAAACATCATCAGTCCAGTGCCAGCTAAGGCGCCATACCAGTTAGGGACGCTGCGTCCAATCGCTGCCCGCTTACCCGGGAGAAGCTCTGGCCGGAGGTCGGCCTGACCTCCGCAAATCAGACGATGTGCCTGACCTCCTTCATCAATCGTGACCAATTGTTCCGAGATGTCCGGCAGCTGACAGACGGGTCTGAGCAGCTCACGGTGACTGCCATCTCGCAATATCCACCAAGCTCCAGAGGCCGGCGGGGTGCAAAGCAAGTCAATGGCATCTGGGCCAGAGTCATGCGCGAGGTGGACCACATCACGGGTAGGCCGGCATCCCTGCTCACGCAACCAGGTACTCAGATTGTCAAGGTCAACTTGTTGTCGGAACTGGTAAACGGCCGGACCCCTACAGGGGCGCCATATCCGCAAGAGGGTACCCTCTACCGGTGGGTGCTGGAGGAAGCAGTTAAGCACATCAACGAAAAGGAGGAACCCAGGAGGAGGGACACACATGAGAGGCGGACGTGCAGCAGTAGGGTCGACTGGCACTACCATGGCCATAGCAGCGTTGACAAGAAGTGCAATAGGTAGCCAACGGCCGGTGCAAGGTGCACTAGCAGTCCAAGCAACTAGTTGAGCCCACTTAGCAAGCCTCATGCCACCACATGAGCTCCTTGCTTGCAGCGGTGAGGGCGGAAGAGTGTGCTCACTCTCCACATAACAGCGGGAATCCTTGTTCGGAGTGCGCCGGAGAAGCGTGCCGCAGGCGTGCCCAAGATGAGTAATGGGTTCTGGCCACATCCAGCGGAACCCATCAAGGACAACGGCCACCCCTTGCAAGTCCAAGACTGAGAGATCTGCTACGGTGGCTACCTCAGCCCAGGAGGTTTGATCAGTACAGGCCGTCCTAATTTCATCTCCAATGATGAGAGCCCATGGCATCCTCCGGCTAGGACAGGGTACCACACAGCTGGTCTGGATCGCACCACAGTACACAACATGCAAGGTGCCTTCGTCGGGGATACCCAGGGTCGGGATGCATGGGTCAGCGAGCGAGGAATCCAGGGAAGAAATCTGACTACTCCTGGCTTCCTGGGGACCCGGCATGGATGCCATCCCCTGCGCTCCCATGTGTGGCGCAGAAGAGAGGGAGTCTGTGCGGCTATGCGACAGCAGCAGTCGCATGTCAACGCTAGCTGTCACAATCTCAGCTACAACAGCCTCATTATCGGCAGAGTGCAAGGATTCGGAGGGCCCCCAAAGGAGAAACATTTCCGTTGCCCGGAGCCATATTGCAGCCGCGGCTCCCGGTAGCTCACGCAGCGCGTAGAGAAGGTCAGCGCGGCTTGGGAACACCCCTTCCACGGCGAATGCCACACCGTGTGGAACACATTCGTGACAGTCATGCAACCAGACAAGGGTGCACATCCCACCTCTAGGGGCCGCGAGAAGAATAGGACCCGGAAGGCCTAAAAGATATGGCGGCACATCGAGCAGATGGGTAGTTTCGGGGTTTGGCGACCGAAGAGTGTGCAGCATATCCATGGCAGTGTCACGTGCTGTCACGCCTTGCACGCGTGGCAGCCAAAGATGTGGTTGGCCGGCTTGCAGCAAGGGAAAGACCTGCCTGCCTATAGTGCGCGTCCAAGAGCACCCTACTGGCATCGTCAGAGAGAGAGTGCTAATATCCAGAAGTGTGGGTGAAGCTGATTGAAAGGTATCAACAACCACGCAGACATCGCCATGCCGCATGCGTCCCCGGTGCGCACAGTCAATGCGATAGGAATGGGTACCATCCAAGCTTTCCACCCATGCATGAATATCAGCTGCAGGATTGCGCCAGTCAACATCGAGGCATTTCCACGATCCTGCCCGTGCCACCAGAATGGTGCTATGCGTGTCTGCACTGGAGATAGCGACCATATGCACAGCTCTATGGTCCGGTGTCGCGGCAGCAGGCAGGACGACATACCTGCCTAGGGCGGATACAGTCTCAAGGAGGTCAGCGTGCACATCAAACCACGGCCATTGCGCCGGGTAGCACCGGGTAAGGACCCTCCCAGGGTGCCACAGCTTGAATGTGACTTCACGTGGGTCGTCATTGCCGAGGGGGCTAGGACTGATAACGGGCGTGAGAAGCTTGCCAGAGGCCAGCAGCTCTCGCTGAATTGCCGCATGGGTGGCCTGCGAGGCCTTGTTGGGCAGGTTGCAGGGGGGAGCTGGCACCCGCTGTAACCGTCCACTGCGATGTGGTGGGGCACTAGCAGCGCGTCCTGCAAGTGCTTGGCTGGCACCTACCACAAGCAGTAGGCACATAGAGCCGACAGGTCCCCGTAGCGGCGCTGCTGCAATGAGTAGGGCTTTTGCCAAGGAGGCTCCCCGCGAGGCAGCATTTTCAGAGTCACTCCCAATGGGCACCTCGACTAGTGTGTGTCGATAGGCTCGTAGCAGATCAAAGCCAGCCACGTCAAGCATGACATCAGGCCCGACGGCTTGATCATGGAGCAAACAGATATAATCTCCAGACATCACATGTTCATGCATGGCTGCCGTGTCCAGGATGCGAGCATGGTCTCTCGCAGTGACATCGAGGATTTGGCTGCACGATATGTATCTGGGTACTGTGAGAGTAAGCAGTCCAAGATCCAATGCACGGAGGTCAACTACCAAGGAATGCCTTCCGAGTTCCTCACGGCGGAAGGCTAGGAACTGCGTCGGCGGCAGGTCAGTAAGCGCATACCGCATGCGGCGCATAGTCAGGGAAGCGAGCTCCGGGAATTCGCCACGCAGGAAGCGGAAGGTCTCGCTATCAGGAGCAAAGGCCGGCGTGAGTGCATGTATGATACCATTAGCAGTGATGATAACGCAGGACAGGAGGGTCTGGCTGGGGGGGCCCTGATTGCTGTGCATGTCCGCATAAGGGGAGTGGGCACTGGCTTCACTCAGCCGCTGTTTGAGCGCAATCGGCGTCCAAACAATCGCGTCACAACGTGGCTGCAAGAGAGGTTGGGAATCGGCCACAAAAGTACCCTCCACGCACTGACACTGCTCAGCTTCCGGGATGGACTGCATCTGAGTGAGCAGCGCTGCCGCTGCGACGAGATCGTGGCACTGTTCATCCCTTGCTGCTTGTAGCACATGGAAGCTGTCAAGCTCGCCTCGCACCAGGACAGGAACGGCTTGCGCATACCAAGGGAAGGCGCGGGGCCGGAGTACATACTGCTCGCGAGTGACAGAGTCAAACGGCGAGGCCAGCATCAACACGTCGACTGCATCTGCTGAGATGCCGAGGGCCTGCACAATGGCTTCATCAAGTGCGGGTCGGAAAAGGCGGCTGTCAACTCTGAAGAGGATAGGCTCGGGGCCTTCAACCACTCCCCCATGGAACACGGCAAGCTTCCGTGTATAGGTTGCCGTGCACAATTCCTGCATCGCTAGAGGCCGGGCACCGACCTCTTCCAAAGGGTGCAGCTCACGCCGTATTCGAATGCGTGGGACTCGACTGAGGGACCAAGCCGGAATTCTGTTGAAATGGGCCTGGCCCGCTACCTGCATCATGAAAGAGTCATCGGCCTCATTGTTGTCGGGCATCGATACAACGCCCTCCTCCTGTCTGACGTGTTCAGGATTATGGATTTTAGGCAGACCTGATGCTCCAACCGGTGAGAACAGCAGACAGAGAAAGAAGCACCCCTTCATCTGTTTTACCGCAGTCTCCCTCGTTCTCTTATTCTTGCACCAAGGCTCTCGCCGTGTATGTTGGGGCGGCAGGGCAGGTGAAAGGAGGCCTAGGAGGAAAACTCCTATCGGGAGCCAGGCTACCACAACCATCAAGAGGCAGGGTGCAAGGGCCAGCCCACATCCCATGGCAGCTAAAAGCAGACCTAGGACCTGGTGCTCACTGGGCAAGTCGTATGCCATCTGACCAAGGGGCTTGAAATGGGGTGGATCGGCAAGGGTAGTCCACACGCAACCCAAGAGGACTCCAGCAGACAGTGCCGCCAAGAGAAATTCCGTGCCTTGAACGGCAATGCAACCTCCGCAACCAAGGCAATGTCCTATAAACCAGAGAGTTCTGACACTAACGAAGGTGCCGGTGCCTCGTCCTGAGGGTGGTCCAAGGCCTCTGGCTGTTGAGGTAGTACCCGCAAGAATGCACACTATGCAGGCGAGAAGGGACAGGCGCACGTTTGCAGCAGGGCGTGATGCGGAAGGGCTGGGGTGCTGGCACCCAGGCGTGCCGCTAAGTCGGGGTGCTTCCCGAGAACCAGCTGTGGGAACAACCATTCTTCTGTGCATTGTGGCGTGTATGACATGACGTCCTGAACCGCAGCATGAAGAATGTGGCCTAGGAGGAGCACAGCTTGGGGACAGTCCGGAACAGCGGCTGGACAGCTTTTTAGGCACGAGTAGCAGCGCATCAGGTCCTCTACCACAGTCGCAATCTCTGGTCCGCATGCCCAGGGGTGTTGCTGCAAGCTCCGCAGCGTGCTCTGACATTGGTTGCGGACCTCTTCGGTGTCCATGTGCGGTGGCTCGGGAAGCACCTCCTGCAACACCGGATTGCTTTGAGCCGCAGTGGCAGCAGCTCCACACATGTCCATAAGTTGCCCCACCGACGTATTCCATGCCGTGATCCAACTCAGTTGCCATTGCTGCCAGTCTTCCTCGACCGCTGAAAGGGGGGCTTCCATCTCCTCTCCCCCAAGAAAGGACATTGGCTCGCTGAAACCATCGGATCCATCCAGCTCCACCGGTGCAGAATGGGCAGGTGCCATCCAGGACGAGGTTGGGCGTGAGGGACGGGTGGGGGTTCTGCCGGTGCTTTCCTGCGGCCATGGCACAGCCTCCGGCGTTCCAGCCAGTGGCCCGTGATCTTGCGTGCTTAAAACGATTCCCAGAGACAGGAGGAGGCTGGGCTCTGTGACTTTCTGTTACCATCGTTGGGGAACCCGAGGTCAGCATAGCGCCAGGGAAAATGCCCCCGTCGAGACCTGGTGGTTGTCGTCTGGCATGGTGGCCCCCAATCCCCTGCGTCTGAGTCGGGACTGAAGGCACCCCACCGCCAACTGCCGGAGCGCGGTTGTGTCCCAGTGGATCCAGTGCAGCCACAGCCCGAAGAGCGTTGGCCGCCATCTCGAGCAAGCCAGTCACTTGGGGTGGCCAGATAGGCCCTGCATTCTGTGCACCTTTGTGCAGCAGAACCTGGGTGGCATCCGAGGTCGTAGTGGAGACCAAAGGCGTTAGTATTTTCAGGGCTTCTTTGACATCCGCATCCAATTGTCCCGCCAAGCGCTCCACCTCCGCATAATTGGTGGATAGGTGCTCTGCGAGCTGGGAGTGCCATTGGAGAGCCGCTTCGCCCAAGTCCTGCTTCGCACGAAGGTCTGCTTCCAGTCTCTTGGTAGTTTTGGCAACTTGCGTCGCCAGCCAGTTGGCTTCCTGTGCCAAGGTACGCTTGCCAGCATGTTGTTCTTCGGCAGCTAGCACAGCATTTTGAGCCCTGCCAGCACGTGCTTGGAGGGCCGAAACCACACTCGCCGGTGGCACGAACCGCACAGCTGACAGCAAGGGCGCCGCAGCTTTGGTTTTCCCAGCACCCTTCGGCTGGCCCTTCGATCCAGTCTCCTTCCGGCTCTGAGGCGGCATGGATCCGTGATGCCGTAGAAGACGGAGTCGATCGTCTGGTCTGCCGCGACCGGTCTTCAGCCGGTTCCGCGCCACTTGGCGCTTCCTCCGCAGCCGACGATGCCACGGGGGAGAGCGTGCCCTGCGAGGCACCGTTGTAATTCTGGAGGTTTGTCCAAGTAAGAGGAAGCAAACAAGCCAGTGCAAAGAGCTTGATGAGGACTCGCTGTCCTCTCATGTGCTGCGCGTCCCAGATCAGTCGGCCCAGGAAAGGCAGCGAATAACCAGGGAGGCGCAGAGATATCAGGGTGACGGCCCAAAAAGGCAGCGTAACCCACTAGGGAGGGGATGAAAAATCCCGGTGGCGGATCCAGTGCCCAAACCACCAGCCAGCAAATGATCCAGGACCAATGCCAGCAATTCAGGGCCCCGCGACCCTGAGGATCGGCGCGGGCCAGCCGCGCAGATCAGAAGTACCGGACCCAAGCCCGATAGATGGCGGCAGGACTAAGGCCTGCCTGGGGTCTGGCTGTTGCAGATCCGCAGGCGCTGCTACGAGCAGAGGCTACGGAAAGACACAATCTAAGCCGAAACGCCTATCCTATAAACCCTATAAACCCTATAAACCCTATAAACCCCATAAACCCTTTGTGCCCTGTACGCCCTAAGCCTCCCGAAGCCTGAATCCATGAGCCGCCACCGAGGTGTTCCGCTTGCTTGGTCTTCTAGGCTCGCGGGTGGTGGGATTTATAGGGTTTATAGGGTTTATAGGTTTATAGGGTTAAAAGGGTTTAGAGGGTTTCTAGGGTTTCTAGGGTTTCTAAGGTTTCTAGGGTTTCTAGGGTTTACAGGGTTTATAGGGTTTATTGGGTTTATAGGGCTTATAGGGCTTGTAGGGCTTATAGGTAGGGTTGTGCCCAAACGCCCGGACCCTAAACCCTGTAGACCCTAGACCCTGGGCCCTAAACCTTAAACCCTAACACTATAACCCTATACACCCTATACACCCTATAAACCCTAAGCCCCAAACCCTAAATCCAAAACCCTAACCCTAACCCCTACGAACCCTGAACCCTCTTGCGGGGGGGGCTTTCGGGCTTCTCGTGTGGTGCGCGAGCTGCTGGAAAGGCGGCGTCACCAGCGACCCCGCCCAAGGGATGAAACCCTTAACCCTGAACCCTAAAACGCCCAAGCCCCAAACCCCCCTGAACCCTAAACCCTAAACCCTAAACCCTAAACCCTAAACCCTACGGTGACTGTTTTTAAACCTGTGGAGGGCGGGCCCGGGCCAGGAGCAATAAATTTCCGTGTGTTGAAATGTATAATCTAAGTGCCCTTGCTTTGCCTTGGCTCCTAGGTTTCTGTGGGCTTGGGGCCTTGCAGGGTGGGAAGAAGCCAGAAAAGCCCTAGGACAATGTCCTAGGTTTCTGGGGCTTGGGGCCTTTCAGGGGTGGGAAGAAGCCAGAAAAACCCTCAAAAACACCCCTAAGTCCTCTCAGTGGGTTCGAAGTAGATGTTTCAGTGGGGTTATCAGTGCCCATGAACCTCCAGGTAAGTATGAGAGATCCTTGAAGCCGAGGGTCTTTTGGTTTTCGGGCTTTAGGCCGTGGGACCCCGGGTCCTTCGAGTAGAGTTGTCAGCTCTCCAGGCTTGTGAGTTTCAGGTCCTTTTGTGGGCATCCTTGACATCCTGAATATGATGAATGTTATGAATCTGATGAATACTAAGAGCCTTATGCTTACATGAACTCAACCTTTGGAGAATCTTATTGAGGAGCATGCCTCATGGGGTGTTAAGAGCCGGGCCAGCGGAATCGCTTCAAAAGCCCGAAGCCCCCCCAGCTCTAAATGCGAAACTCTCCGAATGCCAGGATGCCTCAACCCTACTAACCCCAAACCCCAAACCCTAAACTAAGTGATCCGTCGAGCGACAGACCCCGAACGCTTGGCCGAGGGCAAAACAGCCCGAGCGCCCATACGAGAAGAGACGCGGAAAGGTGAGGGTTAAGCCTCACCGTCTGTCCTGGACAGGCCAATGGATATTGGCCTTCCTTACGACAACGTCAGTATTCGAATACGGGATGGCCTTCCCCAGACCACCTTGCGTAGCAAAAGTTTATCCCCAAATCGTAACCCTTCTCTTTGGAGGTCATTATTAAGGGCCCCCCTGCCCCTGGCGGCTAGATTCCTAGCTGACTGGTTGCCAAATTCCTCAGGCCTCCTTAAGGGCCGGGTTTGTAGAGCTTGCAGGTCCCAGGACCCTCCCAGGGCCTCCCAGGGGCCCGAGGCTACCCCCAACCCCAGTTGAAACCCTAACTTCAACGCAGAAAAAGCAGGGGGACCTGAAACCATCTCAGCAAGCAAGGGCCTTAAACCCCTCCAGTAGGCAGGCGGACCTTTAGCCCTCCCAGTTTTCGGGTTTCCGTTTGGGGCCAAACCAGCCGACCGGGCTTACAAAGTAAATACAAAGTAGTTCACTGGTTTGCCACGAGTCTCTAATCACATGCCTCTTGTACAGCTGCAACCCCCATGTAGATGTTATGTTCTGTGATATACATTCTTTTTTGGTTTCGCCCGTGTGGTGGGACGGGGGGAGGGGTCGGGGGGTGGGGACCCGGGGGGGGGGGTGGAGCGGGGGGCCCTCAGCCGCCTTCCCCCCCCCCCCAACAGGCCTATCTCATGCCCCCTCCCCCTGCCACGCCCCACTGCCCCACCCCCTACGCCCCCCTCTGCTTTATCAATGCCCCGCCGACCCTTCAACCCTCAGGAGCCTACCCCCCCTCGCCCCCCACCCCAGTTCGGCCTGCAGGCTTCGCGAAGGCCAAGCGCGGTGCTGGGTTTCGGGTTCCAGGGTTTCAGGGTTTCGGGTTTTGGGTTCGCGGGAGTTATAGGTTTGAAGGTCTACTGGGCGTACTTGGGTTTTACAGGGTAGGGTTCCGGGTAGGGCTTTGCTTGTTGTTGGCTGACGTTATTCGGGCTGAAGAGGATCTTATTTTGGAAACTTTGTCAGCGGGTCAAATGGCCAGCCCAGTTGTAGTCCACATTCTTCCCCCTTTTCAGCGGGCAACGTGAAGGTACAGGAGCAGAAGCAGGGTTTAGGGATTTGGGTGTATACCCTAAACCCTGAACCTTAAACCCTAAGCCCTAAACCCTAACTGCGAAAGGATGCCCAACGCCCCAGTTCCGGTCCCCTTGTAAATTAGGACCCTAGGGTTGAGAGTTACAGGCGCAGTAGTAGATGGATACCTTTGTTGAGAGCCTCACCTACACTGCGTCTCGCAGTGCCACAAGACCATGGAAAGTAGGTCGAGCTGATCGCCCAAGCGTCTCCGAAACCCTAAACTCCAGTCCCTGAACCCTAAACCCTATGTACCCTAAACCCCAAGCCTTGACCCTAAGCCCCAAACTCTGTGGCCCATGCGTGTACCAGCGCCTAGGGTAGTAGCGCATCCTGTGAGTCATCAATGCCACGAAGAATCAGAACCCGAGTTTAGGGTTTAGGGTTTAGGATATGTTTCTAAATTCCTAGAGGGCCCAAATAGGGATCCCTACTGTATGGTTCAAGGTATGGGTTGAGGTTCATTGGGCTTAGGGTTTGTTACGGGGCTTTGGGTTTTTGGAAGCTTGGGCCTTCACGGCTATTGGCTGAATTCAGGTTTAGGGTTTAGGGTTAGGGTTTAGGGTTTAGGGTTTAGGGTTTAGGGTTTAGGCTTTAGGCTTTAGGCTTTAGGGTTTAGGGTTTAGGGTTTAGGGTTTTGGGGCGTAGGGTTCTGGGTCTAGGGTCCAATTGGGTGTCCAGGTGGATCGAGAGATGTTCGGGGTTTAGGGTTTTAGGGTTTAGGGTTTAGGGTTTAGGGTTTAGAGTGTAGGGTTGATTGAAATTGGTTTGAACCCGTTCTAAGTACAGCCACCGCACTTACTCCATGCAACTGACATCCTGAAGCCGAAGCCATAAACCTTAACTCTTAAAGCCCAAATCTTACCTTCTCAAACCCTAAGCCCTACAGTGTTTGGGGCTTTAGGGTTTAGGTTGAGCCATAGGCATAAACCCTAAACCCTGAACCCTGAACCCCAAACCCCGAACCCTAAACCCTAAACCCTAAGCCCTAAGCCTAAACCCTAAACCCTAAACCCCAAACCGGCTGGGTTTTAGACCCTAAACCCTAAACCCTAAACCCTAAACCCTAAACCCTAAACCCTAAACCCTAAACCCTAAACCCCGAACCCTTAAGCTCTTCAACCCCCAAGCCCATCAACCTTGCCTTTTTTGCCTCGTGAACCCTGCACGCCCTGTACCCGAAATCCTTAGAGCCCCCAAACCGAACCCTTCAAAGGGTTTAGGGTTTAGGGTTCAGGGTAGTCGCAGTAGCTCTTGACGACATGTTTGGACGCATTCAATGCATGGCGATCAGGCACAGGCCCAACCACGCCAAGAAGCGGAAGAGCAGCGTCTGGCACAGGAGGAAGCTCAGATGTTGCAGGCTGGAGTGAGCCCGGGTGACAAAATGCCAACAGGCCCTGACATGCTCTGAACTTGTTGTAGGGTGGAGGGTTTAGGGTTTAGGGTTTAGGGCTTAGGGTTTAGGGTTTAGGGCTTAGGGTGTAGGGCTTAGGGCTTAAGTTGTAGAAGTGTTTGTGCCATCAGGCTGCTCACTCCAAAGCGCAGGAAGCTCGTGAGAAGTACCAGCAGCAGGCATGTTGCTGCAAGTGTCTCGTAGTGGCTGCTTGCGCTAAACCCTTAACCCTCAAAGCCCTAAACCTTAATCAATCCCTGAGCCCTAAACTCTATACCCGAAACCCCAAACCCCAAACCCTAAACCCTAAACCCTATACCCTATACCCTAAACCCTAAATCCCCAATGGGCCCTTTGAAGGGCCTTTCCGCAGGCCGAGCCTAAACCCTAAATCCTTAGCCTTAAGCCCTAACCGCCCAGGACCTCCAAGCCCAGCACCCAAAACCGCCGGCCCGTGGCCAGGCGTGGATCCTCCTGTGCCTCTGCGTAGGGGAGGCAGAGTTTAGGG